TAGTTAATTCAGTATTTAATTTTGTAATATCAAGTTGAAATTTGATACTATCATTTTTAAGTTTTTCCATATCTTCAATATCAGTTTTAAGTTTATCTAACAGTATTTTTTGTTGATCGTACATCATTCGTAACCTTGTATTTTCATTTTGTAATTCTAGAATTTTAGCATCTTTTTCTTTAAGTTTGTTTTCAAGATCGTTGATTTCAATTTTATGTTTTTTTTGTAATTGTTCGATAGTTTCTTTGAGTTGTTTCGTTTTTTTCTTTTCTTTTTCAAGTAATTCTTTGGTTTCATTATGTTTTTTTATTTCTTCTTCTAACTTTTCTTTAGTTTCACCATGTAGTTTTTTTTCTTCTTCATATTTTTTTCTCATTTCTTCGTATTCTTTTTTAGCTTTTTCTGTTTCTAATTTAGCTTTGTTATAAAGTGTTTTTAGATTATTAATATTTTGTAAAAGTTGTCTGGAATTTTTTTGGTATCGGCCGGTACGGTTATAATACCAAACGGCATTATTGTATTGTTGTTTGTAAGATATAAGTTGATTATACCAACCAGTCCAAGCAGCTAATAATAAATAAAGAACCATTTTTTTAAAAAAAAACTAAAAATATTTTAGATACGTTTTATGAAATTTATTTATTTATTTATTTAATAATTTATATTATTACTCTAAAATTAAATATTTAAACTCATTAAAAAAATAAAAAAAAATTAAATATAGCTGATTCTCAAAAAACACAAACACCAACACCTGATTATGAGATTCAAAAAGCACAGTTATCCGGTGAATTGAGACGTATACAACAATTGTTAAAAAATAAAACCGACCAAAATGCACAATTACAAACAAATTATAATGCTCTTCTTGAAAAAATAACTGATTTAACATCTACAATAAACGCTGCTGTAAAAAAATCAATAGAAGATTCACGACCTTTATTTGAAGAATCTTTAAAAAAAATTTTATCAGAAAATTTAAATAATGAAATTAAAGAACTTAAAGATGCTATAAATAAAATTGATAATGAAGAATTAAAAAAAACGATTAACGAAAGAGCAGAAGCGTTAGAAAATAAAATTGATAACATTAAAATTCCCGAATTACCTAAACCACGTGATATTGATTTAACTGACGTTTTAAAAGAAGCACAAGGAACAACATGAA